CAAATTATATCTTCTTTTTTGGTATTAATTCATATGATTAAATAAAATTTTATGCATATTAAATTGAGTATTAATACCATAATGTGAAGTTTCCTATTTTTTGGTATTACATAACTTCAAATACACATTTTTTGCTTTCAATAAAATGACTATAATTATCATTAAATCCATTTTTATTTTTATCAGTATATTATGTTTGAATAGTACAAAAGATTAAATATTACTGAAAGTAATTTTTACAAAAGAGTCCCTTCTCTTCACCTTCCAATCCTATCATCCCTCAAGTACACAATTTCAATTTTTTTAGTTATTTTCTCCAATTTTCCATTTTATTTCTAGATAATATGTATATACTGCTATCCATCAATTCATCTGATTAGACTTACCTATTGATTTACAACTACAGATAATAAGGATTTTAGCTCATTTATATCTCCTCTTTCCCTTCCATCATCATCTTTCTTTTTTGTCATTTTCAGTGTGAGTTTATTTTAAAAAATTTTTTTAAATTAACGTATAATGTATTATTTGTTTCAGGGGCCTTCCATCATCTTCTCAATAAAATTATATCTCAAGTATCTGTTAAATCTATATTCAGTGTTTTCATAATTTTGACCATGTGTATGTAGCATGTGGTTAAAACAATGATTACATTCCTTTCTTACATAACTTTTTTTTCCTTAAAGTTACTAATTGCCTCATTTTAAGACCTTTTCTTAATTTTCTTTGAACAACTGACTAAATATTCCCACATTCTCAACAGCTCTATAAAATGTCTCTCAATCCAGTTTTATACAAAACATGTTAGGTGCTTGAAGAATTAGACCCTTGCCTTCTACCTCCCACAACTGCCCACTCCAGTCCCAGGTCCAGAGAGTCCCCGTAATGCCTCATACTGCTGTTCCAGTCTGGATAGTTCCTCTGTGGGTGCTCAGCTCTCTTCAGTTGGATCTTCCATTTGCCACCACCCTAGGAATTCTCTTTGTCTTCAATGGATCCTGTCTGCTCAGTCCCATGTATCCCCATATCCCTGTATCCTTTTTCTAAGTTGAGCTCTTTTGTATGAGTGTGTGTTTCTGTCTTGTGTTTATCCACACTTGAGCACATCCTCAGATAGCTTCCAAGAAAGATGATTGGGAAGTACATTTTTTGAGGCTCTGTGTGTGTCAAAATTGTCTCTTTTCTACCCTCTCACTTGATGGAGAGTTTGGCTAAATATAGAATTCTTGGCTAAAAATAGCTTAAAAATAAATTTGAGGGTCTAGCTCTATTATCTTCTGCCCCCCATTTGAGAAGTCTGACGCCATTCTTATTCACAGTCTTCTATCCATTATGGGTCTCACCATCTTCCCCACCCCCTCCATCCCTACCAGAGACTTTTAGAGTACTCTGTTTGTTACCAGTGTTTGAAATTTCACGATAATGAATCTTTTGTTGTTTTTTATTATTGGTTGGGGGTTTTGTTTGCTTTTGTTTTTTGTCTTTTATTCAATGGCTGGATACCCAAAGGGCCTTTCTGAGAAGAAGCTTGTGTTCTTCAGCTCTGGAAAATTCTTTTATGTTATTTTATTTATTCTTTTCTCATTCTTTTCTTTTCTTTCTGGAGCTCCTATCACTTAGCTGTTAGGCCTCCTCAATCAACTATCTAATTTCTTGGGTTTTCTTTCTTATTGTCCAGTTACTCACCATTTTACTCTACATTTTGGATTCCCTAACCATGTCCTCCACTTTTCTACTCAGTTTTTCATTTCTGTCATCCAATTCTTATTTTTCTAGTGTTGTTGTTGTTGTTCTCTTCCAAATATTCTTTCTAAAATTGTCACCTTGTTCCTCTTGGATGGATGTATACCATCTCTTATTTCTCTGAGGACAGTAATGACTTTTTTCATGTTTCTTCTCCCTCCATAGTTCGTTTCTCTGAGTTCCTTTTTTAAAACCAGTTTATTGGGATATAATTCTTCTGTCATTAAATTCCGTCATGTTAAGGGTCTAATTCTATTGGGTGTATTCATTAAATCATTCCACCATCTCTACAATCCAGTTTTAGAATATTTCCACCACCCTGAAGAGATCTCACGGACCCATTTGCAATTCATCTCCATTCCCAACTAGTCCCAATCAGCCAATAATCTGCTGTCTTTATACACTTGCTTTTTCTAGACATTTTGTATAAATAGAATTGTACAAGATACGATCTTCTGTGTCTGCTTTCTTTCACTGCACATGCCGGGTTTGAAGGTTACCCTTGCTGCAGCACACATCAGCTGTCTTTTCTTTTTTTTATTGCTGAAGAGTATTCCGGGTATGAATCTACCCCCATTTTGTCATTCACCCATTGACTATAATTTGGGTTGTTTCCACTAAAGGGGAATTATAAACATCCTCTTGTTATTTTAATATTTGATGTTGAGCTCCATGTTTCACCATTTAGAGGGGTTTTACCAAATAAATGCACTCCCTTGCAGTTTGTTCATCCTTAGACAGGCCAAAAAAGTTATTTGGAAACCGTATGTGTCCATGAAGGGAGGTGGCACAGTGGGGGCTTCATAGTTAATTCTAGATTTTTTAAAAAATTTATTTATCAGATAGAGATCACAAGTAGGCAGAGAGGCAGGCGGGGGGGTGGGGTAGGAGGCTCTCTGCTCAGCAGGGAGCCTGATGCGGGGCTCGATCCCAGGATGCTGGGATCATGACCTGAGCTGAAAGCAGAGGCTTTAACCCACTGAGCCACCCAGGCACTCCAAAGATTTTATTTATTTATTTGACAGACAGAGATCACAAGTAGGCAGAGAGGCAGGCAGAGAGAGAGGGGGAAGCAGGCTCCCTGCTGAGCAGAGAGCCTTATGCGGGGCTCCATTCCAGGACCCTGGGATCATGACCTGAGCCAAAGGCAGAGGCTTTAACCCACTGAGCCACCCAGACGCCCCATTCATTGTTAATTCTTTGAGGAAATTCTCTTGTCCGTGTTTTTCATTCCTTTCTCTTAGACTGATAGAATTTTTCAGAGATGAGTCTCCTCATACTTTGGCTGGAGGATATAATCCTAGTTTCCAGCGTTTCAGGAATTGAGAGGAAGGAGAAGGCTAAGATGTCACAAATTTTAGGACAAAAACTTTTTTTGATGCCCCATTTTCAGTAAGAGATCCCCTGCCTCCTTTGTGCTTTGTGTACCTGAGTCCTGAGACCCTTTGTTTTCTTTCTCTTCTGCGGGGCTGGCTGCTCAGAGCAGATGAGAAGATCTAGAGATGCTAGTTTCTAAAAAGACTTTGAAACAAATCTCTCTATTTTTAGCCCTACCATTATCTCTCCTTCTCGCCTATTTCCACAGCTAACTGGTGCCCATTTCTGAGCCTGGGGGTTTTACAGTGTAAAGTAGGTTACCTCTCTGCTTTACCCACTGGCCCGTTTAGGATTAGCTTTCCTGGCTCCACTAATCCATCGACCGCTTTTCCATTTACTTTGCAGCATCCAAAATGTTACTGCTATTGTTTCTGTTCCTAGTCTCCTAGGTCTGTGCCTCTATAAAAATCCTTCTGCTCTCATTCTCAGAGCATTTTCGTTCTGAGTACTTATTCGACCAGCCATATTAAATGAGAGTCTGCACTTAATTCGGTAATGAAAAATAAAACTTCCAATTTCAAATAATGTATATAAATACGTCGCCCTCAAAGAAGTGCGGCATGACCCACTACTCCTTCAATGTGCGTTCCACTCAGTGACTTCTTTTCAAGAGTCCAGAATGCAAAGGGACGGGGAAGATTAGCCTCGTGATGGAGAAACCTGCCGAACACTTCCTCAGCCAGGTGACCAACGTCAAGGTTAACAGTGTAAGTCATGTTCGTAGTGTCTACCCTGCATATGATGCGAGGAGAGTGGCACTTCACCTTTGTGGCCTCCCTTCCCTAAACCCATGATCCCAGTCTAATCATGAGAAAAACGTGAGACAAATCCCAACAAAGGGACAATTACAAAATACATGACCAGTACTTCTCAAAACTGTCGAAGTCCCCCAAAATGAGGACAGTCTGAAGAGCTGTCACAGCCAGGGGGCGCCTAAGGAAACATGACAAATAAATGGAATGAGGTAACCTGGACAGAATCTGGAAACAGAAAAAGAACATTGGGCAAAAACTAAGGCAATCTGAATATTGAATGAGCTTTAGGTAACAGGAATGTATCGATATTAGGTTAATTGTGACAGAAGTACTACATACACCAGTAGGGAAACCGGTGAGCTGTGGGGCCCGTGGCAACTCTCTCCTATCTCCACAACTTCTCTGTAAATCTAAAATTATTCTTTTAAAAAGTTTATTGAAAAAATTAAGCCTCTCTCATTTTTCCTTTGACTGTTTATTGATACCTTCATGCCAGCTGAAATGTGCCACAATTTGGCCCAATTCTACCTCCTACTAAAATTATCAGCCAGCTATTCTAACTTGTGTATTAGAATAGTTTGTTCATTCTCTTTTATAAATGTTTATTGACAACATACCATGTTGCAGGAAATATATGTGGTGCTGGGGCTACAGAGATTAATAAAATATGATTCCTGTCCCACAAGACATTCACGTCCTGGGAATACAGACTGACACAAAATATTTTTCCTATTCTTCTTCCTGAGAAACATACCATGAATACATTTTGCTATTTGTGTTAAGAATATGAAAAAAATAAAGCTGAAATTCTCTAGTTCTTAAAAACTTTGGTTTAGGTGAGATGTGGAATCTCTTAGAATTATATCATCAGTTAAGAAACATTCAAGAAGGAGCACCTGGGTGGCTCAGTCGGGTAAGTGACTGCCTTCAGCTCAGATCATGATCCCAGGGTCCTGGGATCGAGCCCCTCATCGGGCTCCCTGCTCAGCGGGGAGCCTGTTTCTGCTTCTCCCTCTCCCTCTACCTGCTGCTCCCTGACCCCTTGTATTCTCTCTGTCAAATAAATAAATATAAAATCTTTTTTAAAAAACAGGAAAAAATGCAAGAATAATTAACTATCTGGTGGGGAAGGGCATGTTGACAACAGAGAAACAGAACTTCCTACTTTTTGACATGACCACACATCCCCTCACCAACAACAATATTAAGCAGCGCCTCATCAAGAAGGTTCAGGAAGCTGTTCTTGACAAATGGGTGAATGACCCTCACCGCATGGACAAGCGCTTGCTGGCCCTCATTTACGTAGCACACGCCCTCCGACGTCCTGGAGAATGCTTTTGCTGCCCTTTGGACAAGCAGTATGATTTAGCCACCAAGAGAGTGCGGCAGCTCCTAGACTTAGATCCTGAAGTGGAATGTCTGAAGGCCAACACCAGTGAGGTCCCGTGGGCAGTGGTGGCCACGTTCACCCAGTGACGGCACAGAGTGAGATATTCTCCTTTCAGGAAAGTTGGTGGCTTCAACTCCATTGACTACTGACTTTTTGTAATCCGTACTTTACCGCACTATAGTTGGTTTTTGTTTTATATAATAATGGGTAGATTTTCTGGGTTTGTGTGTGAATGCAAGAAACTGCTGGTATGAGAGACCTTTCTGCTTAGGGTTAGAGAAAGAAGTTTTACTGTAATTGGCATTTCATACCTTGTTGATTTCAAGAGCATTGCCATTCTCACCATAACAGGTTGGATTTCTGTTATGTTTGCTTTCAAACTACCTCCAGTTCTCCAGCATGTCTTTTTTGTTATTTTAATTTTGTTTGGTAAAACATTTATTGAAAAAATATACTCTGAAAGGAGACAAAAATATATCGAGGATGTTTCCAGTAACTATGCTGGTTAATCCTAATAGTTTGTATATTCATTTGGATTTTTTACATAAAAACAGTTATTTTTATTTTTTCTTCTATATTTTGTTTCTTTAAAATTTTTTTTTAAGTTTATTTATGTGATTGCGCAAGCAGCCAAGAGGGAGGGAGAAGCAGACTGCCCGCTGAGCAGGGAGCCTGATGCAGGACTCAATCCCAGGACCCTGGGATCATGACCTGAGCCGAAGGCAGACGGTTCACTGACTGGGCAACCCAGGCGCCCACCTTCTGTTTCTTTTATTCTTCTTGCCTTATAGCACTAGTATCTCCAGTACAATGTAGAACAGAAGTGATGATAGTGATCATTCCTGTTTCAATTTTAACTCAAGCAAATGTTCAAAATTCACTTCTAAGTAAAATGTAGTTGTTGATTTTTTGAAAAAAATCCTCTTGATGAAATTAAGGTAGTCCTCTTCTTACACCTGACCCTTTAACAACATGGGTTTGAACTGCATGAATCCACTTATACACAGATTTTTTTTATAAAAAAATATATATATAGTATAGCACTATACTATATATAGTATAGCACTATAGTATAGCACTATACATGTATTTTCTCTTGTTATTTTCTTAACAATTTCTTTTCTCTAGTTTACTTTATTGTATGAATCAACTGTGTTATTTGTAAAGCTCTGGTTAAGAGTAGGATATTAGTAGTTAAGTTTATGGAGATTCAAAAGTTATATGAGGATTTTTGAATGCAGAGGTGGGTGGGTCCCTTAAACCCTACATTGTTCAAAGGTCAACTGTACTTTGTTGAGAGATAATTCTCTTCTTGATCATACTTTGGTCTACATCTATTGAGATAACTCTATGTTCTTTTCCAATGAGTTACATTGATTGAATTTTTTAAAAAGAATTAAACTCCTTTATTAACATTTTTTCATTTTTTATGAATAACATACCATTATTCAATCAACAGAGCTAGAATGATTGGCTTTTGATAGTTGGTTTCTTTCCTAATAGACATGGCACCTGGAAAACAATGTTTTATTTTTCTGCTAACTAGACAGACTGATAAAGCTGTTGGTCCCATGGCTACCAATCTTTGTTTAAAAGAAGTACTGAAAGATACAGAAGACTAAGAAGTACTTTTGGAAACTGAGTCTATCCTCTCCTCTCCCTCTGGGTGATAGAGGAAGGAGTGGGACTGCAGTTTCAGGATATTGGTCTCTCTTTTATATTTTAATTCAATTAATTAGCAAACAATGTATTACTAGTTTTACTAGTTTTAGATGCAGAGTTCAGTGATTCATCAGTCTTATGTAATGCCCAATGCTCATTACATCATGTTCCCTCCTTAATGTCCATCACCCAGTTACCCCATCTCCCCCACCCTTCTCCCCTCCACATGCACTTCTTTAGCATCTCCTCAGTTTGAAACTTTCCACAAGTACAGGTGTGCCTGGCTGGCTCGGTCAGAAGAGCACATGACTCTTGATCTCAGGGTTGTGGGTTCAAGACTCATGTTGGATGAAGAGATTACTAAAAAACAAAACAAAAACCACAAACTTCAAATTAAAACATAATAAAAAGTAAACTTTCCACAAGTGCAGATTCTTCTGTGCTTTTCAAAAATTGAGAGAGAAATCAGAAATTCTTTAACTCACCAAAAGTGGAATCTGTAATTAAGGTATTTTCTAATAGAGACATGTACCTTAAAAATATATTTTACTGGCATTATGCTAAATGAAAGAGGAAAGAAAGAGAAAGATAAATATTGTATTCACTTATTTGCAGAATCTATAAAAGCCAAACTCATATCAATAGAAGTATATATCTGAAGAATACTCAAGGATAAGAAGGTTTTTGTGCTAAGTCTCAAAAATGATGGTTACTAGGCACCAGGATGTGGGGGCAATAGAGAGATGCTGCTCAAAAAGTACAGACTTCCAGTCATAAGATGAAAGCGTTCTGGTGATCTAATGTATAGCATAGTGTTGCTAAATGATGACCACACTAAGTCTAGTTAACATCAATCACAGGTATTTTCACTATCAAATCATACAGGTGAATTGTTCCATCAAGCCATCCCATTTATACTGCATACAGTGTGGGCTTCACATGACTTGCTCGTTGCTCTGCACACCACTCAGGAGGTAGGGAGGTACCAAGGGAATAGCTCAAAGACACCAAGAATCCTTTCTCTTTCCTCATTTTCTCTCTGTAATTCTTGGCATGTTGCCTTTTGATTCCAATATTTTCTCTATTGCAAAAAGGACAGTAACTCCAAGGACCCAACTGTTGTATAACAGTTTCCAAACCCTGGAAGAAGTGAAGAGGCCCTGTCCTTGCCTCCTGTGCCTTTTAAAGAGTTATAAGACCTTATTCAGAACATCTAGCAGGTGCTCCCTCATGTCTCATTGGCTGGATTTGCATCACATGCTCATTTCGATACCAATCATGAACTAATGAAGACTCACACTTTGTGGCTCTTAAGAAGGACTCCCACAGTTATTGGGTGTAGGGGGAGGAGGGACAGGATAATCTGTTCTTCCACAGGCAATGACAATGAACATCTTTTCACATGGTTAGCTGTTTCCACTGGTCAATTTTTTAAAAATTATTCTTATTAACATATAGTGTATTATTTGCCCCAGGAGTACAGGTCTGTGAATCATCAGGCTTACACATTTCACAGCACTCACCACGGCATATACCCTCCCCAATGTCCATGACCCAACCACCCTCTCCCTCCCTCCCTCCCCTCAGCAACCCTCAGTTTGTTTTGTGAGATTAAGAGTCTCTTATGGTTTGTCACCCTCCCGATCCCATCTTGTTTCATTTTTTCCTTCCCTACCCCCCAAGTCCCCCACCCTGCCTCTCAAATTCCTCATATCAGAGAGATCATATAATTGTCTTTCTCTGATTGACTTATTTTGCTCAGTATAATACCCTCTAGTTCCATCCACATCATTGCAAATGGCAAGATTTCATTTCTTTTGATGGCTGCATAGTATTCTATTGTATATATGTACTACCTCTTCTTTATCCATTCATCTGTCGATGGGCATCTAGGCTCTTTCCATAGTTTGGCTATTGTGGACATTGCTGCTATAAACATTCAGGTGCACGTACCCCTTCGGATCACTACATCTGTATCCTTAGGGTAAATACTCAGTAATGCAATTGCTGGGTCCTAGGGTAGCTCTATTTTCAACTTTTTGAGGAACCTCCATACTGTTTCCACTGGTCAATTTTTGTATTGCTATATCAACAGCCTGCTGTTCAAATAGCTTTATAGTAAGCCTTGATATCTGTGAAGACCTGTCCTTCCTCAAAATTGGGTTGGTGATTCTGAGCTCTTTGCTCTTCCGTATGAAGTTTAGGAACAACTTAACCAATTTTCCTGAAATACGCTGTTGGGATTTTTGGTTGATATGACATCATGCAGATTTATTTGGAGGAACTGTCATCTTTATGATATTGGGACTTCCATCTAGGAAAATGGCATAACTTTCTGTGGTAAATATGGCCACAGATTCTTTGCACCTCCTTCTAGGTGGACCCTCTTTCCACACCTCTTGTGTCTGGGCTGGATTTGCTGTTTGCTTTACCCAGTAGAATGTGGCAAAAATGACCCTTTGCAAGCTCCAGAGCTTGGGGTACATGAAGTGATAAGGTTTCTGCTTTCACTCTCCTGGAATGCTGCCTTGAGACCACCAGACCATAACGAAGCCCAGGATAAAAGAGCATATGGAAAGAGAAATCCAGCTGTCTCAGCTAAGTTCAGCCCCCAGCCAGCTGACCTGCCAGCTGAATGCAGCTGTGTGGATGAGCCCAAGCGAAAGCAGCAGAGAATTGCTTAGCCAACCCAGAGAATTCGATGAAATGATAAACTGTTGTTGATGTAAGCCATTAAGTTTGGGGGTATTTTATTCCACAACGAGAACACTAGCTTAATGGGAAATTGGTACCTAGAAGTGGGGTGCTGCTCGAGGAACAACATAATGCATGTGGCCTGGCCTTGGGACTGTACAGTGGCCTGAGACTACCAGGGCAACAAGGAGACTGTTAGCGGAAGCTTGAAAAAGCAGTGGGGAAACTACTCTTGAAGTCTAGAAGGATGGTAAACCATGTTTTGTGCTAGTGAAAAACTTGGCAAAAGTGTTGTCAGCACCACATGAAGCAAAGGAACCAGCTGGCTACATGTAGGATCATGAGAAATATTGACTTATTATTATTGTATTGAGACAATAAAACAAGTTTTGGGATGGTTTTATACAATGCATAATTGAAACACTAATGAACTAGTGAGTCTAATTGTTATGGACTTAATCTTTGTCCGCTCAAAAATGCGTCTGTTGGTTGCTGAGCAGAGGGGGGTTGGGGGGGGGTTATGGACATTGGGTAGGGTATGTGCTATGGTGAGTGCTGTGAAGTTTGTAAACGTGGAGATTCACAGACCTGTACCCCTGGGGGAAAAAAAAAAAATATATATATATATATATATATATATGTTTATAAAAAATAAAATTATAAAAAAAAATGCGTCTGTTGAGGGGCGCCTGGGTGGCTCAGTAGGTTAAAGCTCTGCCTTTGGCTCAGG